AAATTAGTTGATGTCCAAATGAAGAAAAAACTTCATCTTAAAGAGAGTTTTGTACTTGAAGAAGATACAGTCCTTGATACTTGTCTGCGCGAATACGTAACTTTTTGTAACATATTGTACTGAAATTTGTCATTGTCTTAAATTTAAATAAAAAATGCTGTTGTATTTTAAATAAAAAATTGCGATGGTTTTATTATTTGGGTCAAAGGCTTCCGTTGTCTGTAGATAACACAGTCACACAAAAATTTTCGGGCCCAGAGGTGAGACCTTGTTTATTATACGTCTTTTGGGTCGCTGAATCCGAATCCGAGGTCTATTTAACCCCATCACCTCAGGATTTTTCATAGCCTCAAAAAAACTGATATTCTGAACTATTAAACCATATAACCTTAAGACTCAAACTTCCGACGCTAAATCCAATTAACCAAATGCCATAAACATTTAACCCAATGATATCCCAACCTAACAAGCCCATGAACCCAAATCCCAATAACCCTATAATCCCACGACCAAGGGAATAAATCATACGCAATCTGCATTATTGCAAAACATCACATAGCTGAGGACTTCTTGAAAAGCCAAGTACTCAAACCCAAAAAAATCCCATAACCCCATATCTCGTAACCCCGTAACTTCATAACCTCATAACCTCATAATTAATAAATCATAGGCAATCTGTATTATGGCTAAACGTTAACGTGGTTAAGGATATCTTAAAAACCTATGCACTCAAACCCCAAAACCCCCATGACCCTACAATTCATAACCCCACGATTCCCTAACCACAACTTCATTACCTTTGATCCCATTCACCAACGAGTGTTACAGTCGATTTAGTTCATCATATAGCTCTCATAAGAGCTTTTGAAAAAAAATATATTTCTAGGATAGATTAATCAATAAAACTAAAATAAATAAATGAATGATTAATATTAAGAATCTCTCTTGACTAGATTAAATGAAATGAAAATCCAAAGGATAACAGTAGATAACCCAAAAAATTATATTACTAGAATGACTAGATCAAAAGACCGGACCTGTGAAATGACGATCAATATATAGGATGCATTTTGGGTTTGAGTACTAGGGTTTTCAAGGGGTCCTCAGCTATGTGATGTTTTGCAATAATACAAATTGCCTATGATTATTTCTTTGGTTATGGGGTTATGATTATAGGGTTATTGGTGTTTGGGTTCATGTTCTTATTAGGTTGGGATATCATCGGGCTAAATGTTTATGGGATTTGGTTAATTGGATTTAGCGTTGGAAGCTTGAGTCTTAAGGTTATGTGGTTTAATTACACAGACCAATAAAATTTAATTTTTTTTTGGAAGCAGAAATTTGAATATATATATTTCCGAAGGATTTAGGTGCGCTGAATCCGAATCTGGCAGCAGAATTGCTCTATCACGTCAGGTTTTTGATATATCCTGACCTAAAAGTGCAAAAAGCACTGTTTTTCGTCATATTTGAGGTTATGTAGTAATGCCATCTATTCTTTTTCAAAAGAACTAATACATTGAATCTAAAAGTATAAGGCTTCCTCCTTCGAATGCCGTTGAATTTGCTCAAATATCTTTTTTTTTTTCGTTGAGATATCACATGTTGAAATTTTTAAGGTTCTCAGTTTCTTAATATGCGAAAATCTACTAAGGATCCCTTAGACATCAAGCAGTCGATTGCAATTCAGATACTTCATACCCATACGGTTTGTGGGTTTCGAGTTGGAGGGCTTGGGGTTGTAAGCTTGGAGTTTGTAGGTTCGGGTTTTGTGGGATTGGGTTTGTGGGTTTAGGGATTGTGGGTTTGGGGTTTGTGGGTTTGTGGATTTGGAGTTTGTAAGTTTGAGTTTCTGAACTGCAATCAATTGTTTGACGTCTAATGCGGCGGCTACACGACAACGACTTGCCTGCACGGTATGGTTTGCGCAATAAACACGGAATACTGTGTTGTGGCCACACGATGCAGGTAAGACCGTGCAGGCTGCAGACACTGCAGGCAGCAATCAGTACGTTTCTCAGGAATATGTATCCAAGCGAAGAATTTTTGGTGTTAGCCTCTTTCTATTTTACATTAGTAAAAAAAATAATAAATAGACGTCATCGTTCAAAATGGTAAAAAAATGGCTTCTAAACAGAAATATACATTCACATATAAATTTAATGAAGGATTTGAGAGAAGATCCCGACGATTGGCGTAATTATATGAGAATGGATGAAATGGCGTATACTGAATTACTAGGATTGGTGATCCCTTCATAAACCGACAAAATACTGTAATGCGCGAATCTATGTACATTGTATGTACAGTGTGTTTCACTTAAAGTCGGGACACCTCCGTATTTAGGAAAAAGGCCTACTTTTTGATATTATACTTTTTGACATGTGATCTTTTCTACGGCTTACAATCATTAAGAAAAGACCCTCAAAAATTAAAAAACATATTAGCATTTTCGATTTGATCACACCTCGAAACTCTAAATACAAAATTTCATTATTATAGCTTTTACAGGGTGTTCACAAAGTAGGTGCAAACTTCGAAAAATTCCACGTATTGCAGAGTATCCTGTATTAAGAGTGGAAAATAATTTCAAGATATTTTTCATAATTTTATTAACCGAAAGTATATCCATGCATTTCATTGATTTCACTCATACAGGGTGCTCACAATAGGACAAGCAAATTATATATATTTTTTGTTATACCAGAAATGAGTTTCACAACAAAATAATATTTAAATATTACTGTTTTCTGTTAGTCCACATACTTTGGTATGCACTGTTCAATTCGTCTCATCTTATTTCTAATAACTCTCCTCTACTGATGTGGTGTTATTTGTCGACATGTTTATCTATTACATAAAAATCAAGTGGCGTCAAGTCTGGAGCTCTTGACGGCCACTCAGCTAACGGACTGTTGCGACCTATCCACTCTCTCGGAAAATACTCATTCAACCAATGACGTACCTACTATTACCGCATTATGAATAAGTGCTCCATATAATTGAAGGTAGAGGTTCTGTCTTACATGAAGAGGAAATACATGTACTGAATCCCAGAAATCATTGTTTAAAAAATTCATAAAAATCTCGCGTTTAGATTAACGCAAAAAAAAAAGGGCCTAATTATTTGATCACATAAAATCCTACAAAACACGTTAAATTTTTAATTAAGATTTATGTAATATAATTAGACAAGCATGTCGACAAATAACACTACATCAGTTGAGAAAAGTTATTAAAAATAAGAGGAGACGAATTGAAGAGTGCATGATGGACTAATAGAAAATAGTAATACATATTTAAATATTATTTCGTTGTGAAACTCATTTCTGGTACTTATAATAAAAAATATAGATAATTTGGCTGTCCTATTGTGAGCATCCTGTATGAGTGAAATCAATGAAACTGCATGGATATACCTTCGGTTAATAAAATTATATAAAAATACCTTGAAAATATTTTTCACTGTTAATACAGAACACTGCAATAAGTGAAATGTTTCGAAGTTTCACCTATTTTGTGAACACCCTGTAAAAGCTATAATAATGAAACTTTGTATTTAGGGTTTTGAGGTGTGATCACATCGAATATGCTATCAATTTTTTCTTGAAAAAATGCCTAATATGTTTTTTAATTTTTGCGGGTCTTTTTTTCTTAATGATAGTAGGCCGTAGGAAAGATCACATGTCAAAAAATATAATATTAAAAATTAGGCCTTTGTGAGTACTACCACATAAAAAAAAAGAATTTTGGAAATCGGCCAACGCCATCCTAAATATGGAGGTGTCCCGACTTTAAGTGAAACACACTGTATATATCTCCTCACGAAAGATTGAATTGGTACTCTCAGATATTTGGCTACAGGGAGATCATATAGAGATTTAAGGTTTTCTGCCGCAATTTCTCTTAACTGAACACCGTGCGCCGTCCACACGCTCAAATTTAACCGTGCAAATCGAATTTGCACAAACAAAATCTTCAGCAAGTCGAAGTTTACGCAAGCCGCGCTTTTCAGTTTGTGCGAGATAACGTTTTGCCGGCCACACGTACGGGCTTCCCGATACAAACTGGTTTGTGCAGGCAAGCGCGCGGTAAAGCCTGTATGTGTGGCCGGCCCATAAGGGATCCTTAGTAGACTTTCGCATATTAAGAAACTGATAAAATTTCAACATGTGATATCTCCACGAAAAAAAAAAGATATTTGAGTAAACTCAACGGCATTCGAAAGAGGGAACTTTGTACTTTTAAATTATGCATATATACTTTTTTTTTTTTAAAGAATAGATGGCAATACTACATAACCTTAAATATGACGAAAAACAATGTTTTTTGCACTTTAGGCTACGATATCTCAAAAACCTGACGTGATGAGCAATTCTGCGGCCAGATTCGGATTCAGCGCACCAAAATCCTTCGGGAATGCATAGTGTGCCTGCTTCTTGACCCTTGTTGACCTGTGTTATTCAGAATATCGTTTTTTTGAGGTTATGGAAAGTCCTGAAGTGATAGGGTTAAATGGATCTCAGATTCGGATTCAGCGACCCAAAAAACGTGTAATAAACATGGTCTGAGTCTGGGCCCGAAAGTCGTTTTTTTTGGAATTTGTTTTAGAACAATTTTTAATTTATTCAGCAGATAGTGATGAATAGTAACTAAAAGATTTATTTTTCGATTAAAATGGAATAGATGTTTTTTCTTTGAAATGTAATTTTACTAGATTTTTGTCTCATCCTTATTGTCCTGCATTTTAAAACAATTGAAGAAATGTTAGCTTTTACCTAAAATTAAGAGTATTAAACTTTATTTCCTAAGGGATACTTAGCGGATTTTCTCTTTTTCCTGTCATTCTTGACGGTTATAATAGGACTTTAATATCGTCCAGTAGATCCTACCTTAAGCGCTTGCGTCCCAAGCGTCAATTATACGAGCCGGGCTTTAGTTTCCAACTCCACGACTCTCATTTGTTTAGGCTAGCGGACGCATCAGTAGTACGACGAGAGTCAGCGTGGTTGGTGTAGCGAGAACCAGCGCATACTTCGTTGGCACGTTGGAATATCGTTATCGATCTCCCTTATCCGATTGGTTTTTCACTTGTCCACGCTTTTTCATTCCCCCGGCTGGTTTGATTTTCTCTTTTCGCCGGGACACGTGCTGCTTCAGGCGAGTTCTAGTGGTCGAATCAGGCATGTTTCATTGAAAATTGGACGGTTTTTGTATCGGACTTCAAGTAATATCGCTTTGATCAATGTTGTTACCCACGAACTCCTCACCGGTCGGTTTCCAACAAGAATTTTATCACACCGTGTCGGAAAAAACTAAATTTTTTGCCTCGAAATGTGTAAACAGGAGTTTGAGTCCTGCGAAGGACAAATACAACAGTGACACCCTAAGAAGGGGCAGATTCAGGTTCTGCGTATGCACCGGCCCAAGAAAAAGCAATAAGAAAACCACGAAGTGGTATGTTAAGGTAAGGCTGGTATTTCATTAGTGCAAAATTTTTCATTTCCTGACCTTTATGTGCTACGTTTTTAAATTTATTTTTTCCTGCGACATCGGTTAAAGGTTAACAAAAATCGTTTTAATTATACAAAAGTAGAGTATGTGATTAGGTCAGAAGAATGTATGTTTTAATTACATTTAATATTTTATTTAAATAAATTTAAAAAAAACTAGTCTCAATTTTTAAAATTTTAAATTTTCTTTTAGCTTTTTNTATTTTTTTTAAATAAATTTAAAAAAAACTAGTCTCGATTTTTAAAATTTTAAATTTTCTTTTAGCTTTTTATTTAAAATTTGTAGTTTAAAAGTACACGCGTATTATTACTACAATACAGCTCAATTATGAACACATAACTCCGTTTTAAAAAGCCATTATTCTTAATTTCATTTTAATAATTCTATCAAATATTTATATCTGTAATTAATAATAATATAACAAGAAGGGTACTTGGTATTATTTTGAAACATTTTATAAATTAAAATAATTCGTTTAGAAAGATTTAAAATGGTATTCTTAATTTGACAATGAGCAATTGTACATAATTTTGGAATAATGTCTTAGGTAGGTATACATTTTTATATTATTTTATATAAACTTGAATAACGGTTATGTCGGAGAAATCCACTTTTCGACCCAATGATAATATTTTACAAACATTTAATATTTTGGCGGAACCGCTTATCCGAAATTAATTTTCTTCTACCAACGTCTCTACAAAATATTTACTGATCCCATTCGTTAGAAATACATTTATAATTGTGTAATATATTTCTACATCATTTGTGTACTTTACATTGTGCTTATTTTGTTCGGTTCCTCATATATCTTAAAATGTGTTACACCATAATAGAAACATACTTTTGTATAAAAGAGCTATCGAAAATAAGATCTATATTTCTCAATAACTACTTTGTTTGAATAAACACTGAAAAAAATCAAGGAAAATATTGTTTAGTCTTATTCAACTTCATTTTTTCAAATTTCAAATGAGTTAAAAATTTTTACGATTTAGACCAATTTACCCCCACCCAAAGTCAATATATATATATAGCCCTTGAATTTAATTTGGGGGAACTACCTAGAAAAACCTACATCTTACAATTAGTAGACACTTTCTAACAGGCACGTTGGTCTAAGTCATAAAAATAATTAATTTAGTTGCAAATTTAGGATTAAGGTGAAGTTTAATTATTTTATTAGAATACTCAGAAATCCATTTTTCTGGAATGGCGGATTTTAGCGTTATGTTGCAAGTATACATTTTTAAAAATATAGTTCATCAAAATCTTGACCTAGAAAAAAATATGGAAAAAAGGTGTTTTTAGCTAGTTCTGTTTTAAGTAAAAATAAACTCAAGTTCATAAACCCCCTAAATCAGATTTCACTGAAATATATTTAAAAATAACAGAATTACCGTAAAAAAAATTGGAGGACCTTAATATTTTAAGAACGTACAATTGTTCTAAGGGACCCGATTTAAATAGGTTTATTTTCCATCCCAGAAAGCTATTCTTAAAGTGTGGCTCTTTCGATTCCGGTCACCCTGTATATGACCTGACGTGTTTTTTATTTAATATGTAGGTATTTCTCTTTTATATAAGGATCAAGTACATCTAATAATTTGTAATAGATACGAGTATTATCTGCAGGAAAGTGTATCCAAATCATTAATGTATCTAATATATCTATTATTTCCTGAAATACTTGCTTTGTTAAACTACTTAGATAATCACGAGGATAATCATATAAATAAATGGATGTGGTGTGGAATTATACATTATTTATTATTCAGAAAACATGCATAATTCATTTTATACATTTAAGTTTCCTCCTTGTTGCTTCCATAATGAATTAAAAGTAACATTTAAATTTTTAATTTTAAATTATTGATGACATATTAGCATGAAAATGTTAGGATTTATTCGTTTGTGGCAGCTAGACTCGTAACGATAAATTGTTAGGATTTATCTGAACAGTGTACAGTTCAAACTATGTAAATTATCCGATCTATGACGGGAAAAAAATCGTTTGGCATAAATAATAAATTTGTAACGATCCATATTGTTATTGTGAAACAGCTATTATAGTTATGCCAGATATATGTATACGTAACGATAAATCGTAATGAGTACTGTGTTGATTTATCTGATCTGCATAACGATTTTTAAGCCCATAGTCATTAAATCGCTATATAGTTTGCACATATCAGATAAATCGTAGCGCTTTTTAACTGTAGTAAAATCGTTACCAAATCAATTCAGGGGATCTATCTAGTCAAGGTTGGGAGCATAATATTGTGTGGTATATTGTTGACAAATCATTTAATTATTTATTTACGTATATTACAATACAAACCCATATGTTATGAAAGTAAACTCTTGTGCATTACACACTGCATATGCCAGGCAGATGTGGTTTTCCTTGTAATTGTTAAATATTATATTGATGTAAAAATATGAAAACTGACATTTGTTGCTTGAGTGGAGAAACGAACTTCTAAATCAAGAGAGAAAAATAAATATCAAGTTAGATTAAAATAAAGTGTCATTCATTACCACATCTTCCGTATTCGTAGCAATGGACGATAAATTTTGCTTATCTTTACTCCCGCGTTTGGGAAATATAGTCGAAAATTAACATTATCTACCGATATCAAACATGTTTGTGGCTTTGATATTGCTAATTAGATCAAAATTGTAAACATTTGCGGTCATGTTTACAATTCAGTGTATGTATAAAATGAACTGATTCAATGATGGGAAATTTCAAGCATAATTCTGTTTATGCTAAGTGATGATGTTCCTATTCAAAAAATAGGTAATTCCAATATATTCTTATATGTAACAAAATGTTTGATCTGCAGAAAAATAACTTTGCTTACCACTGTTTCTAATGATCTAGGTATCTAGGTATTTATAAGTAAATATAATCAGCAGAAGACAGTTTCACATTAGTTAACATTATAATGATTTCTTCTTAGTAGAAATTGTGACAGACATGTTTCCACAACATTAATTTTTAATTTACTTTAATATTGACTTTCTTGTAATGAATCTAGAATTCGAAACTTTCCTTTTCATTTAATTTCAATTTTTCTATTATCGTTTTAGTGTTAGAATGACCAGTGTATAATTTATAGGATTGATAAATATTCTCCTTCATTTTAGAACATTGTTTAAAGAATGTATGTATTTGCAAATATTTTTATAAGAACACTTGTACCACTTTCTATTTATATTTAATCTACTGTTGATTCTATTAACATTTCCAACAGATTAACACATTCTCAGTTTAATAATCATGGTATGCACTTGATTCTAGAGCTTGTTTTCTGTGAATAAAGATAAACTCGCATAAAACGCCTTCTTCGAATGGATTTGAAAAACCGTTTACAAGTGATTCAACTCAAATAAATAAAAGCTTCCTTGTATTAAATGTTACTATCTTGCCATGCTGTTAACAGTATTAAAAAATGATTCATATGGGCGCCATATGGTTTCTGCTAAACACAAATATAAGTTTCATAAAGAAATTGTAATGTAAACATAAAAATGTTTACAACCGCCTACTGTTTAAATACCCCAGCTATGTGTTTCTTGAGGTTTATGTTGTTTTATGCTTTCATGGGTAGCTGATTTAATTTCGATCTGGAATTATGAAAAATAAGTGCGTGTTTTAGCATATCGTGCCAGGCCTTGACATTATAAAGTAAAATTGTAAAATAGATGTTATTGTTGGTATTGTTACCTTTTATACATGGGTCATCACAAAGCAGTTATCTCGACAACAGCCGGGTCATTCGTCAGAAATTAAGAGGGTATATGAAACAAATAACAAAATTACTGTTCTGTCAATAAAAACAAATAAATAGGTAACTCACCGGGGGGTTACACTCCCCCTAACCTTAGGATTCAAGGTATATCCTTCCATACGATTCCATTATATCAATTAGTAACTATGTAACATTCTTTCTTCAACAACTAGCTAGTGTCACCTGAAATAAGTCGAGGCTCCCCCGGACGCCAACTAGTTAGCATCCCAACTACCGGGTGTGTGAGTCTCACTATTATAAGATTATGCCACCTACTCAACACCACCCAGTATGTGTCAATCAAAGCGCATGCAAGACCCCGTAGAACTTACAAGACACACTTTGAAGGAACCACAGCCATAAAGACCGGGAACACGTGGCATGCCCTGGGGTTTTCAAAAACATAAACGAGTATGGCATATTACTCACAAATTCACAAATCGTTAAACAAATATATTCAAGCTAGCACACAGATATAATCGACCTTATTCGGGAGCTGGCCAGGCACCACTGTCTCAAAGAACACCCTCTCTGTTTCGGCATCCTGAGCTACATCTTTGTATATACCCATAAATTACATTATTCAAGGGCACATAAATACTTGGCTGGCGCATTCCGTGTATACAGCAGAGGTTTTATTCAAAGCAACCACGATAGTTTCATTTCATAATAAAATATATATTGATTCGTATTATTACAATACGTTAAAAATAAACAAGTGTTACAAAATTTTGTTACTCTTTATTCGACTGGGTACTTTGCCTCGCTGAAATCATTTTTTGTAAATAAATAACCCCGTACGCCAAAAGGAATTTTAATTCAAAAATTTTTCCTCTTTCATGTTGCTGAAATACCAAATCAAGTAGAAAACGTCACGAATATATAATTACAGGCAATATTTAAAATTTGGGTTTCGTTTCTTGTTTAACAAATTTATTAGCAATGTAAAACATTCATTTTTAGAATATAAGTACTAAACTAAACGTTAGTCATTCCATTTTATCATGAAATACAGTTAAAAATAAGTGTGTTAACACTAACTAGATTCGTTAAAAATATTTACTGTGCTGTAATAAACAGATATTTTATGAATGTACGGAGAACATATCAAAAGTATTCAGAGTACTTTCTGGATTATTTGGCATAATTTGAACCA